CGGTTGAGTTTTGACCGAGTTATAAGGGTGGGAAATTTTGTCCTATGTCTATATAGGATATTTGGGGGTACCCTTTTCACATGAATTTGGACCAAAAATAATGTTCCCAGATTTAAATGCCAGAGCAGTTGAATCTCGAGGCCAACCCGTGAATAAAAAGCCAAACCTTATGAAAATCGGTTGAGTTTTTGACCGAGTTATAGGGGTGGGAAATATTTAGCCCTATGTCTGTATAGGATTTTTGAGGGTACTCTTTTCACATGAATTTGGACCAAAAAATAATGTTCCCAGATTTAAATGCCAAATTGGTATACCCCGGTCTGCTCGCAAAGATCTTTGAAAATGAGTTTGAAGCCGATCGGAGGGTAAGCAAAAACATTCACACAACAGTTTTTCGCGATATTTCCCTTTCTTAACGTGCACCTTCATCACATAAGGTAGCTACAGTAAAAATTTAGTGCGTTGATCACCAATCAGTCAGTTTTATATAAAAAGATTAGAGAGCTAATAACATAAACTATGCCGGAATCGGCTGGATCGATCGACTATATCATCTAGTTGTTATATAGGAATGATAAACCGAAAACTAAGTTATTGTATGAACAACTTTTCGGTTTCTTAAGATATCTTGACCAATCATGAACTTTAAAAGTTTTACCACGCTTCTTATATATGTGGAACAGTTTCATGGGATTTGACCCCTATATTATATAGCTGACATAGGAATGATCGAACTAAAAAGAAATCAAGGGCTCGTCAGCTTCAGGATGTTTCCTGAGGCAGGTTTATCTGCAAGGGTTTACAAAGGATCGTCACCCACCTTGGAGCGATGCTCGGCGAGGGCATTGCGCACCGCATCGTGCTGCTTCTGCAGTTCATCCGTGCGTTTTTCGAAGGTCTGCTTGAGGCGCACGCGTTCCGCCACGCCGCGCTCCACGACGGAGCTGGCCACTTCGCGCTTCATTCTTTGTGAGAGGGAGAAAGGGAGTATATATCACAATAAGTAGGAACTTTTTGGGGAGAGAGTCTTTTCGAGTTACCTGACCAGCTCGTCGCGATCTCTGTGCACTGTGGCGAGATTCTTGACCTCGTTGCGGCGCGCCTCCTGCAGCTGATGCATCACCTCGCCGGTGACCTTGTCCAGGGAGGCCTTCAGCTGTTTCATTTGACTGGTCTGCGAGTTCTTGAGCACCTTCTCGGCGGCGGTGTAGATGGCCTCGTGGTACTTCTCCTGCAGCTCCCGATACTGTGTGGTGTACTCGCGGCAGGCGTAGCGCAGACGTGACTCCTGGGTGCCATCCAGGCTGCTGGAGGCGGCCTCGTCGCCGAGTTCGCCGGCGCCGGCGCTCTCCTCGCTGCTGTCGCCCAGGTCGAGGGGGCAGGCCGGCACCTCGACGCCCGGCTCGCTGTAGGGAGAGAGACAATTACTAATTTCAATGGCGTCATCTGGCAGTGACCACATCCCCGAAAAGCACAGTCGCCCGCCGGACACTTACAGGCTCCTGTTGCTCAGGCGCTTCACTAGCTTGTTGGTTATGGTGAACTTCGGCTTCTTGCCTCCATCGAGGGGGCTGAGCTTCTGGCCAGCGATCTTGAGCTTCTCCTTGTCGTGCTTCTTGCGCAGCGACTCGAGCTTCTTCTCCATCTCGAGCCGCTTCTCACGCACCGACTTGTGCTCGAGTATCTTGTCCAGCGGCTCGGCCAGCAAAGGGTCCACATCGAACTGCGACGACTCCACCTGCCTAATCGACGTGCTGACCGACTGGTCCAGCGAGTGCTGATGCTGTATGCCCGATGCCATAATGGAGACGCTGTCATCGTTGCGTGCTCCATCGCTGCGATCCGTCGGCAGCTCCACGCTTGTGGCGGCAATTATCGAAATGCTCGCCCGATGCTTCGGCGAGGTGGCTAGCGATTCCACCGGGCGCAGCTCCTTCTTTTGGCCACCTACTTGGACGAAAACGACTGAAGGATCAGAGACAATCGAGCAGAGAGCGAGAGAGAGAGAGAGCGAGGCGAGGCGAGGCGAGAGAGAGAGATAGAAGGAAGAGAGAGAGAGAGAGAGAGAGAGAGAGAAAGAGAGAGCGAGTTCGAACGAGTAAAGGGAACGGGTTGGTGGGTCGGTGGAGTAGCGGGGGTTTTGGGGTGCAGTTTGTGTGTCCGTCAACCGTTTTGTGTGGTGGTGTTTTGAGGAGTTGGTGTTGGTGGTGTATTTTGTTTGTTGGGGTTGTTGGTGGGTGCGTGTGCGTATAACCAAATCCAAAATCCAAAAGTTTAACCGAAAGTTTTATGACATACAAAAGAAAAGTAGAAAGAAAAGAAATTAAATTAAAACACAACTCGAATGCTACCGATATCCTTGGAGAAGGGTCCTTCAGCCAACTAGTTGGGCCCAACTACAACCACTTACATGACTTGGACAGATCCTCGTCGGCATTGGCCAGAGCGTCCGTTTCATCAGTGAGCACTGAGAGCTGTATGTCGCGCTTCTCCAGCTCACTCTGGTATTTGATGGGATTGGCCAGTGCTTCGGCGAAATTGGAGAGATCGTCGGGCACATAGTCCTTGACGACAACGCACAGAAAGAGCGAGGCCAGCGCAATGGGCTGGCCCACCTCGGAGCGCAGATTGACATGACGATAGCCCGGACAGAGACCGATTACGGGCAGCACCCGATGGCCAATTAGCTTGCCGCCCTCCTCGTAGGCCGCAATGCGTATGCTGGCCAGTTCCGGCAGCACCACCTTCTTGAACACGAACGGATCTTCTTCGTAGACGGGATTCATGCCGTTGTCGCGCACCGTCTTGGTGCGGAACTTCTTGCGCACCGTGTCCGCCGGCAGGCCGTACATATCCACCTCGACAAAAGTGTTGACCCGCTTGTCGGTCAGGAACTGGCCCGAGAGCACGGTGATCGAAACGGTGCCGGCAATGATGCCATCCACGGTGCTCTCGGCGAATGGATCGAGTCGCCGATCCGAGCGTCGCATAAACTCCGGCTTCAGCAGATATCCCGAGCGTGCGTTGTACTCGAAGATGCCCAGATTCAGTTGCATGGCCAGGTCTAGGGTCTGGAAGTTCAGCGCCACCAGCTGGCAGCCAGCATTCCAAAACAGTTGCGGCATAAAATTGGAGCTGTCGAAACGTGTGCCCGCCGGATAAACCCGGGACAGCTGATGCTTGTTGTAGTTGACAAACTCAATGGGTCGCTCCTTGAGCAAAGTTGTCGCCTGCTTCTCATCGAACGAGGACATCTCGTAGCAGCGATTCTTCTCTGCAGAGTCGAAGGTCGGAGACATTAGCAATGAGGGGTGGGCTAGGGGGTCCTTGGCACTTACTCTCCGCATTCTCAAAGGAGCTGAAGTGTATGGGCTGCACGTAGTTGACCAGCGCTGAGATCTCGGCGCCCGCCTCCGTTTCCTTTTGTGCCTTCTCCGGCGGCGGCTCATTGCCGCTGGGCAGACTGGGTGGTGCATTGGGCAGGGATTCATCGTCGCTGGAGCTGTCCGAGTCCGAGGAGCCGGTACTATCCTTCGAGCTCTGGCGTATTTGCTGTCAAATAAAATAGAGCTCTTTAGATCTGGTCTTTAAATAATATGCATTAACTAGAACTGATTTACGAACAAGAAACAATTTCATCATGTCTGCGAAATGGATGGGAAAAGGAATTTATCTATTTGGATAAAACAATGAAGCAACTTCTTCTGGATCGGATAGGCTTGGCTTAGATGTCGATTCTATTTTCTAAGTGGCCTATTTTCTAAATAAATATGGTGGGGCTGTCTTTTGGGCAACTGGTTAGGTTAAGTGCTCGTTTCATGGTACAAAAATGTATGGGAATTCCAGGCTCCAACCTTTCTTTCAACTATTTTCAATATTCCTAGATTTTCAAGAAATATCTATCAATTTATAGAATGTTAACAAAGTATTTTGAGTATTTCAAAAAATTCTCTAGACTTGTAAGGAGTAATCGTTACATTTCGAATATACAAATATATGTTTTTTTTTGTACTAATAAGTTTGTATTGATTTATTTACTGTGATTCGGGCTTATATCAATGAAAAAATAATACTTTATGCATTTTCAAGAGATTTTAAAGTTTTTAAAAATTAATTAGTTAAATTAAATTTAAATTAATTAAATAGATTTGGACAAACTTATTTGAAAATAAATACAAAACTTGAAAAAATATTACTTTAATTAGCTTTTTGAAATTTTCTGGTTATATATATCTAGATATAGTTTTTAAATTTAAAAATTGATGAAATAAAATAAAAGTTTGTTGAAAGTTCGAATTAGCTCATCGACTTTTTAGCATACACAAATTATGCAAATACCGAATGAAATTAATTTAATTGAAACTTTATGAAACTTTCTGTTTTTATCAAAAAAGTTTTTAATTTGAATAATTAAAATAAATTAATAAAAAAGTCGAAATAAGTACTACAACAACAAAATGACATATTGGACGGCTTAAAAGTTTCATTTTCATAAAAAAGATAAAAAAAACTGCAATTAAATGTAAATAATTGAGTAGGGGGTAATCGTTATACTATGTATATGTTGCCATAAATTATTGTCAGACATTATGTGACGTGTTGTAAATTTTTATTATTAAATGGCCATTCTCCAAAGCGGAGGTCACGGGCGGGGTTCAAGCTGCGCGGCGCAGCTGCCAATATGAAAGCTTTTAAAATGTTGCGTTGTTATCGCTGCAACAGATCCGACAGCCAAACAGGCGGACAGATGGACCCATGAACCAATGGACCCATAGACCAATGGACCAATGGACCAATGGACCAATGGACCAATGGAGCGATGGAGCGACGGATAGCGTAGTCGATGTGTTGTGTGTCGATAATGCGAGCAGCGCATAATGGCAAGAAAATGACGCAGATTGTGTTTCCCGCGGAAGGAGCTGAATGAGTGGCCGGAGCAGGACTCCGTACAATGGGCATGCAAGTCGACATTGTATTGTGCACTGCACAAGGCTCACAACGACAGCCGAGCCACAAGAGTATCTATATATGCGAACCACCCGCCCGCTCTGCTATCTGCTCGTTTGTTCAGCTTTTTGCATTTTACATTTTCCGTCTCGATTCGCATCGTATTGAATCGATTTGGCTTTCAAAGCAAACTGTGACCAGCTGCCCTTAACACAACTCAACTGGCCCCACACCCGCCCCGCCCTCCGACCACAACTCGTGCGGCTAATGAGCCCAAAATGCAACGCGCACAATGCTGCCCAAACTGTGCTGAGGTATATGTGTGTGTGTGTGTGTGTGCTTGGCCGGTTTTGGGCTTTTGGCCGGAAGAGCTGACATCCGCTGCCATTAGCTTAAATTTGCAAAATTGTGGTCCCCAAACTTGTTGACTGGCGGTCGGTTGCCAGGGTTGCCCGGTCGACAATGTGGCCTGGCCACAACACCCACGCCCCCACGCAAAATCATGAATAATGATGTGCGCCCCAATAGCAAACGGTGCAATTAAATTAATATGCATAAAGCTCATGAGGGCCACAGAGCCATTAAACCAAGCAATCAGCAAGGATATGAAGTCCATTACAAAGCGGATGGCATATTGTCTTGGGTTTATCGCGAGAGTAACAGAAAGGACAAACATAAATAATTGAACCTATTGGAAATAATGGGAATATTGCCCGAGTTGCGAGGAGTAATAGACAACAGCTTCAGGCTAGGGTTTAATTTTTAAAGAACATTTTGAGGTTGAGGTCTTGTCAAGCTAATGTTAAAGTTGCTGCTTATTTTGCTGTCAACCTAGCTAGGCGTTGCTATATGTACCATATTTGGATAGTACTTTAAGTTGGCAGCTCGCTTATATAATATATAAATATAAATCAAATAAAGAGTGAATGCAAAGCTGTAGGCAAGCTTATTATATTCCAATTCTCAACCTGTTTAAGCACATTTTTTATGGTCCAGATAGGCTACTGCTACTTTCTTGAATTTCTTTGTAATTCTCAAACAGTTCTGGCAGCTGGTAAACATTGCTTGGCCGTGCCATTTGTACAATGCCTTACAAGCTAGCAGCTCCTTTTTATTTAAATTTAAAATTACCAGAATTAAAGAGGTTTTCTTTTTCTGTACAATTTACTTTTATACTGATATTTTATTGGCACTTAAATAAACTGCAAGCTTTAACTTGAAAAACAGATTAGTTAGAAGTAGGAAATCTGAATCTAATTTCAACAACCTATTAAATTGCTTGTTAACTTTAACAGGAAAATTAGTAAATGGTTGTAACCAGATAAAACAACTAATGTAGCTTGTGAAGTCCACAGCGATTTATCTACTCGAAACGAATAGTTTTCAGAAAAACAGATAATGTGATTAGTACAGACAGAGTCTGAGTCTGCGAGTCGTCGTAAAAAGTCGATAAACATTTTACAGAGAAGCTTGAAAAAATTGAATTCATGTTGAATCTATAGAATTAAATATAATTTTGGAAGATTGTTCCGATAAAATGTTGATGAAGTATCAAGCTATGAGACGAACAAATAAGAAAGTAAATATAAATTAATTCAAGTGTTGAGAGACGTCCTAAGCTAATCCGAAAAAAAATTTGTTACCCAATTAACATACAGGCACATAAAACTGCTGAGACCCAATAAATGGCCCTTTACATAAAGAAATATATTTTTTCAAAGAGATAAGCTCTTTTAGAAATGTTGTATCAACAATAAAAGTTTAATCCCAACAAGTTGATGCACTCGTTTGAAAAGAGTTTTTTGCTGGCAACGTGATGCTCATCTTGAACAGGGTCAGGAATTGTGAGGGAAACTCTTTTTCTGGTTTACGGTTCGTTGACTGTCACTGGCCATCAAACAGCTCTACAATTCATGCGTTTATTCAGCTTTCGCACATGTGTGTGTGTGTGTGTGTGTGTGTGTGTGTGTGTGTGGTTGTTGTCATTACGACGTATGTAAACTCACAGCGTAAACACAGCAACGATGACAATCAACATCAAGAACAACAACCAAATACCTCCGCACACAGCAAACCCTTGGCTGGCGTGGGATGTTGGGGAGCAGGGGGCAGAGGGCGGGCGGTGGGAGGAGGCAGGGTCAAGGGTTGGGACAAACAAACAGTGGGACAAATCAACCGAGTCCTGCGGAGTCGAGAGGCAACAAACATTGCAAATAGAGGAACGTGTGCGTGTGCTGCCATTAAATGCAATTACAGGCATGCCATGACCACGCCTACACACACACACACCCGCCCGCCCACACACACTTATAAACATATAAACTTACTTGCAATGGCGGCCCATGTCCTCCGCCAGCTCCGCTGACAATGTCGCCATTTGCGGCGCCTGTCATTGTGCGTCCTGCTGCTGCTGCTGCTCCTCCCTCGTCCTGCGCTGCGGCAGCCACTTGTTGAGCATTGGCAGCTGCTGCCGCTGCCGTTGCCGCCTTGGCAGCCGCATCAACTGTAAAAAATGTATTGAATAAATACGAGATATATTATGCAACACCAGAAAGCAATAAAAATGCATGCTTTAAGTATGCCCGACTTGATGATACTCTACAATTCAATTTTAAATATCCCATATATTAGAGCCTGCAAATACTGTTGTTATTGTTGGAGTTTAAACATAACAATTGCCAAGGATTTCAATGTATTTTTCTATTGTCCTTGTAAGCATAAAAGGTTGTGGCTATCGTATAGGTATCTTCCAGACAACAAATATTGCTATTAACCATTAAATCAACTATTTTTACCGATATATTTAAAGAACGCGACAGACGTTATGATTATCGTCAATATTTTGGCACTATCGTAAATAAATCTTACAGGCGATATACTTTCCTATTAACTAAAAGATTATAATTAATCTGAGCAATTTATTTCGAGTCATCATTGTTAATATATTGGCACTATCGTACATGTATCTTCCATGCGATACTTTTTCGCTATAAGCCATAAAGCATTCGTTAAGCTGAGCTGATTTGTTCCGATATCTTTAAAAATAGGGTCTGTTGGCGATGTAATGCGACATATTGTCGTGTATCTACTAGCGGGGCGCATACCTAAATATAAATACTTGCAAAAAGACTCAATTGTCGAGTTTTCTATACGGAGAACAATTATTAAATATATTTAGTTTGGATGCTAAGATTTTAGTTAAGGGAATGTTTTATTATGTGATCAAGAAAAAAAATTCTCATTTCTTAAACTCAAATGAATTCCCCCCTTTCGCCAATTTGTATGATTAAAGGGTATATGGCATGCGAATTATTTTGCAGCATGTTAAGCGAAATGCGTTTTAAAAATTGTTTGCCCCTTACTGCAATATGTGTATAATAAAATAAATGAAGCGCATTAGGTACGCTTATTAAGTTGAAAATTGAGGCCCGGAGACAACTGAGCGGAGGCGTTGGCTGCGCCAATTGGCCAGTTGCGCTGGGATTAAATACAAATATGAGTGCCAGACATATTCGCTGGCAATGGTCATAAAACTGTGCAGCTAAGGAGCACTCCTCAAACGGGGGAGCTGGCAGAGTGGCTCCCAGTAGACGGGCAGCTGGGACTGCAGCGGCAACTGCGACTGCAGCCAGTGGCAAAAGTCATTTGCATTTATAAATTGGCTTTTTGCAATTCATGAGCAAAATGTCAACTGACTGTTGCGCGGGGCAAAGTGCCGCAAAATGGCATAGAATGTCAGCCATGGGTAAATTGTGCAGTTGTGCATGCAAATGGATCCTGCAGGACTCCGCAGCGCACAGCACACAGCCAAAGACCCGGCTGTGGCCCATTAGCCAGGACACGAACCAGACAACTAAATACATTTTATATGCAAAATACTAATAAAACTTTAGATGAGTGCACTGCACACGACACGGCAGCAAGCGGCACATCAAGCTCCTCAACATATGGCCGGGAGCTAAGAATATTGATTTGAGCCAAAGAATCGACTCTCGAACTAAACGACATGCATAATTCTGGCCATTATAGAAAACTATTTGAAAATCAAAACTAATTTCCATGCAAAATATCCTCTTATAGTTAAACTAATGGCAATCGATATTGATGCAAAATATGTGAAGGCATCGAGGAATTTATGACCTCATAATGCCCATTGCAAGTGGATAAAAGGGGTAAATTGGACTTGTCTAAATTTATGTATCTGACAGAAAAGAGATTTCGGTCCCATAAAATCTTTCTACCAAATTCCTTGAAGTTAATTACAAGTTAAGAAAAGAGTACATCGAAAAGAGTACATTTAAATAAAATTGGCCATTCTTTTGAGAATGCTTTGGGCTTGATAAATATTCATGGCCAGGCAGATTGAATTAAGTGATTGCTTCCATTTTTGTTTTAAAATTATAAAGATTAAGGTAAATTATCAAATATGAAAGCTTCGATAGGTTCAGTATCAAATGACTTGAACATTTTTGTACACATTCTTCTACTTATACATTTATGTATACAAAACAAAAAGATTTCTAAAATGTAATCAATCTATCAGAAAAGTCAAGCATATATCTGATATAGAAAGGATCGTTTGAAAATGAAGATGAGTAAAATTTGAGTTTTATATAACTTTACTTTGAACGTTGTTTTGCACAAATATAAAGATTCTAGGGTAAAATACATAGATAGTTTATCTACTCGTTAAATTGGCCTTAAAAATCTAAATCAGAAATTTGAAAATGTAATATGCCATTGTGTGTACTTTAGGAAATTAGTTAAAAACTCGATATGCAAGTTAATCCTGCCCTGAGTTTGTATTTAAAGTTGAAGAACAACAAACAACAGCTGCGTGTGTGTGCTCATTTACATTTGCCTGGCGTCAGGCTGTGGCATACAGCAGGGCAGCGAGGGGCAAACAACTGGCTCAATGCTGTAGCATATATAGCAGCAACAGCAGGGATAATAATAATAATAGTTACATAAACAACAATAACAATAACAACAACAATGCCTGCCATGACAAACGCAATATAATAACAAAAAAAAACGCACATCAAATTACGCATACGCCGTGTGGCACCTGAAAGAGAGCTAAGCTGTGAAGAAGGCTCACCTGAGTTGGCCGTTGTTAGTTTATTGCTGCCACCAGGTGTGCCCTGGCCCATTGACGAGGTCGGCTTCTTGTGATGATGGTGATGATGATGATGATGCTTCTTCTTGTTCTTGATAATGATCTTACGCCGCAGCATCGATGGCGGCGGCAAATCCGTATTGGGCTCCAGCGGATGCGAATCGAGCGGCTTATCCAGCAGCATATCGCCAAAGATTTCGCGGCAATAGTTGGCAATCTTGGCCTGGAAATGAACAAAACGGATACAGTTAGTTTTGCCAACTGGCTGCTAACTGAAATTTGATGAACAGCCCGCAGGCAGCAGACTGAGTAACTAGCTTGCCAACTTTTACATTGGCAAGCACATGGTTCGCCCCTCTGTTAGTTACCTGTTTCCCATGGTAAATTTAGTTTATATAACTACTTTTAATGGTAAAACTTTAACCAGATGCCTATGCCTGTGTCTGCATCTGTCCCTCTGCCAGTGCCTGTGCACCTCTCTTCCCTGCCCTAAAAAAAGTTTGCCTTTGTTATTATCTCGTGGAGCTGAAGCATCAGGCAATTACCCCTCGAGTAGCTTCTGAGATTTACTCAACCACACGGCAGCTGGGCTGTTTAGGTGCGGGGCTGGCTGGGGAAGGCTGGGATACACACGTGAACGTGTAAGTTTTTCGGTTTGCCTTCTGACGGATTGTTTGCCTAATGCGAGCGAGCGGTAAGAGAGAGGAGCGTGTTTTGATTTTTGCTAAATACACGAAATCAGAAATAGTTTTCGTGTTAATGCGTGAAGTTTCCGTTAAGTTTTCGTCTTCAATCGTGCTGAGTCGAAAAAGTCGTGTTGAGTCGTGTTTTAACTCGTGTTGAGTTTAAAGAAGACACGTTCTGTATTGTTTAAGTCGTGTTGAGTTCCGCCAGGCCTTAATTAGGCGTATTTAAAGTCGGGCTTTATCGTGTTAGGTGTTGTAGACTCGTGCTTAATGGCGATAAGCTATGTTAACTCGTGCTAAAGTCGTGCAGAGTAGACTTGGGACTTGAATAAGGCCAATTTGTGGTACCTACTTTAAAGTCGTGATTGAATTAGTATAAATACTGTTGAGTAGTGCTCAGTCGTGTTTAGTCGAGCCCTTTTCTACTTCTATCGTATTGCTTTAGCTCGCGCCCAGCTCTAGGCGGGAATATGAGGTGGCTTTCGGCAACTGTTAGTTTAGGACAAGTTACTTTTTGACCGTCAGGCAGGCAGCACAGCTGTCGAAATGCGGGCGAAATACTTTTACAGCTCTTTTCCATTACACAGTTATCCTGTTTTACTTGCGCTCGCTCGACTTACCTGTTGCCTGGGATTGCAGTGATTCTCGAAGCTCAGTATCACAGGGAATTCGGATGTTTTAAATGCGCTCTCCGCGATGGCCTCCAGCACGTCCTTGGCAAAGATTTCGGGCACAAACGTGTAGCCGTGCACAATGACCGGCTCCTCGGTGCGTCCGTTCCAAAAGTCCAGCTCGACGCATCTGCACACAAAAGAGAACAATAACAAATTATCAAAGGCGATAAAATTAACTGGCGAAAATCCACAAAATGGCGGCGCATAAAAATTGTGTTTATCAGTCAAAGCAGCAGCCGCAGCAGCGGCAACAGTAACAAGAGTTGCGTTCTGCGGCACGCCGAAGCCCAAATACACTTTTAGATACATGGCTTAGAATTGATTTATACCGATTCTTTATTAGCAACCGATTATCCCTATGGGAACCATGTAATCTACTTAGTAGTCTTTTTAATGGGGGTTTTTCCGGATATGTTGAAAGAATATTGAAAATCTTGATTGCCCAATTTGGTTAAAGCAAAGATATCTTAAAAAACAAAAAAAAATTGTTGACCAATAGATTCCATGCTTCTTTAAAATATCTAGCAGCGGTTTTTCAGACGAACATGGCTATATACAGTCGACTTCTGATCAAGAATATACATATATACTCTATGGGGTCGGACATATCTCCTTCTATGCGTTACACATTTCATGCCAAAATTATGATACCCTCTGAGAGGGTATATCAACGTTTGCTATGTCCTTGCAACAACTTTTGCGTCAATAAATTTTGTGATGTGTGTATCATCAACGCCAAGCGCAAGCAGCAGCTGCGACTGTGATGGCTACGCAGACGGCGACGGTGACGGCGACGGCGACTGAAGCAGCGGCGTCAGCGGCAGCCATGTTGATGATGGCTGCAGTAAAAATGGCGAGCATGCAATTTCCGTTGTACTTAAAAGCAACGCAGCGGCAAAAATGGCACACACACACACACCTGACACATTGTATGGGTGAAGGCTAATACACACATACATACATATGTAACGGGGGATTGCAACAAGGTCACGGTCAGCATCCAAAATGTAGGCAACTGACCACGACCACACACACGCACGCACGTGTATGTCCATTTAATTGCGTAATTAAAAGCTCCCACAACGCCCAAAATGGTGCCCCTCATCACTTACCTGCAGCCGGCTAGCAGACACTGCCTGTATATCTCCACGGAGGATTTGCCAGTCAGCTGATGGCCCGTTAGGTAGGTATTGTGCGAGGAGTTGATGAAGTAGTGCGACATCGGCTGGTCCATATCATCGCAGAGATCAAGCTTGTTGGGCGCCATTATTGGATTATCATCGCTCATGAGATACCTAAAAAGAAATGGGAAACGGAGCAAGCGAGAGAGTGTGTAAGTTTAATTGTTAGTCACACTTTCAATTTCATTAAAGGTAAAAGCCACGTGGCTGATAGTTTTAATGGTAAGCGGAAAGAGAGTAAGAATTAAATTATTTCATTATCACAGTTTCATTTCATTATCACTCTCATTAACTCTCTATCATTAATCAAAATAAACTCTCTCTTATGTCCTTTTCTCTGTGCTTTCAACTGTTCTCTATTGAGCTTTCAAGAATCAAGCTTTTGTGTATGTTATCAATACGATTGTTTTAGCTTAAAGCTTTACTGTGCTTTTGAAGGAACAAATTTGTGATACTAAAAATCCAAACTTTGTAAACTATGAACTTATGTTAATCGAGTTTTCGAGAAGACTATCATTTAAGATTATTAAAGATTCCGAGTTAAGCTTTTGTGGGGTTAGGCTTAAGTCAAGCATTATATTTTAATGGGCTTAGTGATAATATCAGTTGATATTACCGAAATCTTTCATGTGCTTAAGAAGCTGTAACCACTGAAATTAGTTGTTAAAGTTTAAAAAGTATACAAAGAGATTAACGGATGAGCTTTAATTTTCTTGTGAGATTGAATTAATTAATTTGTTCAATGTTGCACGAGCTTATAAAGCTATTAGTTTATGTAATGTGCTATTATAAATTTTTTAGGGCTTGCATAAATACCATTACTTTGCTTAAAGCTTTTAAAACGTATTTATATTTTTTTCTCAAACCTATTAATCGAGTGGTTTAACACGCAAACAAACATGCATATATTTTGTTATTGTTGTTGAATTTTTTGCATATGTTGCAAGTGATATGTGAAGGACACGGGGCCACGCGTCCTTAGCGCTTGCTGCTGCCTGAGACCCAGCAACAGTGAAGTGTGCGGTTGGCTGATGATGATGATGGTGATGATGATGAAGATGACGTCTTGGCCCCCGCGTCATATGCAAGCGGTACGCTCTTGTGGGGCCTGGAGTGCCGTCAAGTGACTCTAACAGGCGTTTGCCGAGCAAACGATAAGCTGTCAGGCTCAGGCGCAGGGCCTAAGGACGTGCAGCGCCTCATTTAAGGGTTTTGTGGTAGGCCGAGCGCGGGATAGGTGGTTGGGTCTTACCTCAAAAAGCCATCCAAACTAAGCTGGCCCTTTTGTGCATTGAACTTGTTGGGCTCGTATTGCTGTATGAGCTCCTTGGCGCGTGCATTATTCGCATAAGGATAGAGTATCTCGTTGAGGCGTGGATCGCGTTGCGTCTTGTTGAGAAACTCCACCAGCTGTGCTATGGTCATGCATTTGCGCTTCGAGTTACCCACGCTGCAATAAATATAAGCAGGGATTAGCTGCAAATCTCCATTCAAGTGATTAGCTAAATGTACTCACATGCTGTCGAAGAGACGCTCCACCTCGGAGCGCTGCGTCAGATATTTGTACAAATTATAAAAGTCCTCAAATTGAAATTTCGACACCGATATGCTATCGACCTTTCCCGATGGCAAGCCGGTCACGTCCAGCGCCTTCTCGACACGTTTCCGATCCTCTTTATTTTGCGCAAAAAGTTTAATGATGCTAAAGTGGTCACGACCAGGACGACAACAGACGACGGCACCGACGTTCCAGGATGAAAAGGCGGGTTAAGGGGGTTCGTTGTCCAGCCAGACAATGCGGTTCGTGTTTTTGATGATGTCGTCGACGTCAGTGATGCATGAGCCACGTTTCGCCCACATTGAGTTGTTGCGGGAGAGACGGAGAGTGAGCCAGCGAGGCGAGGGGGTGGGGGGAGCGAGTACAGGAGGAAAATGCGAAAAGAAATTGGCGTAAATTTCAATTTTCTAGGCAGCACTTAGCAAATATTGTCAAATACTTCAACACACAATGCACAAAAGCCAAAAACCCCAATCACAAGCCCAACCTCAAACCTGGCCCTTGGCGGGGTCAGGGTCGGGGTCACGGTCTGGTCCGGTTTGGGGTTTAGGTTTTTGAGGCACGGGCTATGCTACTGTGGCAATTACTTTTTCACTGGGATGCGTCCGCTTTTGTCCACCTGCAGACAGAGTTTTGTGTGCGCCTTCTGCAGGAACATAATCGCCGAGCCATTCAGCTGGGACAGGCTATAGGCCAGCTTGATGAGGCCATCCGTCCAGATCTGGAAGAACACAATACAAGCAAACGGGCTAAGGTCAGCATACAGAGTAGTGTATGGAAGTGTAACATGAGCCAAGCAAATAAATCAATTGAATTTAATAAAACTCAAAAGAGAGCTCAATAGTTCAAGGAGTTCAGTCAGTTAGAAGTGAAAGATTGCCAATGAAAGGTTTCTCGATGTGCCTTACGCTTATAATTGAATTTATTTTAGGAAAGAGGACAGCGTTCGGACGTACTTGGAAAGAGCAGATAGAATGTATAGAAAATGGGCATTATACAAATTCACAAATATTGCTGCAAAGCAAACACAAAGTTTTAGTACTTTTAGTTCATTCACGATTTGAACCGATTTGACTCGCCTTAAGAATCGATTAATGAACCTGGGTTCTAGAAAAAGAAAAATGCAATTTTTGATATTCATTATTATAGTTTATCGAAATTATAATATTTTCCATATGCAAAGTAATGAAAAATTTCTTTAAAAGTTTGCATTGACAACATTAAATGTCCAAAAATAATTATTTTATTTCAGATCATTTATGGAAGAAAAATGGTTTGCTTCAGCTTTTTTTTTATCTGCGATTTGCATTTGATGTATGGTAAGAAGTCGATAATTTCGACTTTGAATAAATCAATTTAAAACAACTTGAAGCACTTAGAAAATTTTGTTTTATATATCTGGTAAAAATGATTGATCTTTCGAATCGAAACGGGCCATGTTCTAAAGTTCCTTTTACTATATTTATTGGCTTACATGTTTTCAGTTTTGGCCTAACATGTTATTGGTTATGAACTGAGTTTGTATAGTTCCACAATTGGATAGTTTGCTTTATGTGTTGAATGATTCTAATTGCATTTCCTGGCAGACATGTCTACAAAGCACATTTATGTGCATTGACTTTGTTAGACGCTTTTCAAATAATTAAACAAAACGCCATCTCTGCCCTCCGCTTCCAGTTACCGCAACATGTATGCCAAAAGCTGCATGTTTATTTATTTTGTGCGGATTATATTTGTGTGCCCCGAAATTCCGAAAAAGTTTATGAAATTTTGGCATTCGATGTTGTTTATAGGAGCGCTTGCGACGCGTGCCAAAAATAATAACAATAACATGAATGCACGCACATGCCGCGCTGCTAGCTCCGTCGTCCGGGTCCGCGTCCGTGTCCGTGTCCGGCTCTGACTGTGCCCCGGATAGACGAGCCCGTGATAAAATATAGAACATTGATTTTGACCGACCAGCAGAAGGCTGGCAGCTCCAGCAAGAGCAAGGTCACCTCTGTGTGCGGGGCGGGGCATTGTGGGTTTATATGGGACTTCGATTCTGAAACGTATTTGGACTGTGTCCAGTCAGACATTGTAAAGGCGTGGCACACCAGCCCTTATGTTAAATCAATAAAATGTGTTCGACAGTCACTTATATTTTTACGCGCATTCGACAAACGGCTAAAAATAGCCCCAGCAACTGGCGACAGGTGTGTCCCAACGTATCCTAATGACTAGCACTGCGTGTGTGTGCGTCTGGGTGGATAGATTAAGGTGCTTGGACTGAGAATTATTTAGGGGCCTGTTCCAAATTTCTTATACTGTAAAATCGATTTGGTTTTGTTTTTATGAATGTATTATACAAAATCAAATACACTACAGATTTTAAATGTTTAGGAATTTAAGATGGAAGTGTTTAAGAATTTTGATTTGATTTGAATATAACGTAGTTTTATAAATACTTTAAGTGATGGTTTTGGCAACCTTTCCATATTTAAAATAAATAATAAAATAAACAGTGAAAATCATTTTATTTAATATTTTGTTATATATTTATTTTTGGCAAAATATTAAATAAAATTGTTTTCACTGTTTATTTTAACAAACCCGGACCTCGAGCCAGCCAACAAATATTATAAATATATGAAGATATTTAGTAATTAGTTCAATGAAAGATATACGATCCAGTTTCCCTTTCACAATAACAAAACTTTACCGATTCATGTGTCAAATCACAACATTTCTATATAATTGAGGGTTTTATAAACCCAAAATTATAAAAGAAACTGTCATTTTATTTAAAACGTCATTGTTTATTGTTGGGGTAACTATGATTTTATGATTTTTGCTGTTTCTCTTTTAAAGTTTTTATAATAATATAAATAGTTTAAGAACATACCATTGTATATTGTACATTGTAAACTAATAAAAGAAATTAAATAAAAATAATAATATTTTTAACTTAGCTAATTTTGAAACTGTCTCGAATTGCAAACGAATTTGGAATTCGGAATATGCCTGCTTATTAACAATTTTGCGCGCGCGACCCACTTCCCAATTCCCAAATGATTTTTTAGGTATGTGTGTGTCTGTTTGTGTGACCCACTTTTTCGGTCCCAAATAGCTTTTGATGCCCCTTCAATGCTCGCATTTCAATTGTCGTCAAGTTGTCAATTGGCCATAATGAGCAGCTGTTGGCATTGGAGCATTGCCAGGAATGAACGACCAGCACCGGCACCCCTCCGCCTTCCGGCCGGCATACCCCTTTCAGCTTACCTGGGCAATGTCCCGTCGTGTGCAGCAGAAGTTGACAAATGTCATGTTGACAAAATCAGAGCCATGGCAAATGGTGACGGTTTTCTCTTCGAGCGTGTCCTGCGGTCCCATCGTCACAATCTGGCGCAGCTTGGAGTCCTGCAAAGAGACGCAAGACAAAGGCAAACGGGCAATGATTATTATTAATTACCAAGCATAAAGCACGCCCCCAAAATGAAGTTTTATGGCTCGTGGCCACTCTCGTAAATCGAAGCCATATCCTTAGCCCTAATCCAGTGAGTGCGCCGACAAAACTCATTTGGCTGCTCGTAAATCAAATAACAGGGCAATGGGATGACCAGACAGCCAGACAACTGGACTACTCTAAGGCGCCATAATTCAATTAAATATCACAAAATGGATTTACGAGAGGTGCGGAACACAACTGCCGAGGAACGCGCCACACTGGACACACCCAGCAAATCAACCCAGTAAAAAGAAGCAAAGCGTCCAGAAAAGTCTAACAAGGATATGGAAGAACAGCTTCGAGTCACCGAATACTCAATGCACTGGATATCATGTAATTCTTTTGAATAACGAAATAAATATCGAAGTCTAACTATTGACAATAACTCTCAATAAGTTTTTTTACAATAATTTAGTAAAGATTTTGGTTTTTTTCTTGTCTATGTTTTGGTTAAAAGCTCTTATGATACTTGATTTTAAAGCTATAAATTTTATTAGTCAAATTGCATAACCAAACAAATTTTTCACGATTTGTGTCTGTATAATTTTAATTAATTAAATTGCCTAATTTTAATTACTTTTAACAAACAAAATGTTATTTCTATGATTCAGACAAACTCATTTATAAAATTCATACAAAAAATACTCCTGAGACGTATTTCACGTGTTTTGTTCAATCCATCAGCTTGGGCGGAAATTGGATTAATACATGTTTTAATGATTATGGAAAATTTTGTTTTGTTTTTTATTGAATCGAGCTTATTTTCAAATATCTAGGTAGAATGTCATTTGAAATGTGATTAAACTGTTTGCGAAAAATCAACTGGGTGTAAATGGGGTGTGGAAAAGTTTGCTCAAACGTCACACTTTTCGTGACATGATCAAAATACCCTCTGCAAGAGTATATAAACCCAACTAGGTTAAATGTAAATCAGCCCGATAGCCAGATAATCACGCAACATGTTCTACAAAAGTGAAATAGGGAGAGATGGAGATAGAGATTGAGAAAGAGAGGGAGGGAGGGAGGTAGGGAAGAGACGGGGAAAAGAGTGACAGGACAAGCGACTGTTTGGCGAGACAAGCGACGGTATTAGTTTTGGCTTTGTTGTCAGTTTAGCAGCTGTCCCCGTCCGCCGTCTGTTGCACTGGCTCTGAGTGGCAGTTGCACCGACTGAGTGGCGGTTGCTGTGGCAGTGTCTTATCTGCTGCAAGCTGTGGACTTCATTGTTGTCGCCCCGCTGGGCGTTTAATGACAAATCCAAAATCAGCTTCAGGATTATCAGTCCCTTTAAAATGCATGACACACATACACTCACATGAAACGGGCGGGGCTAGGGGCTGTGTGTTGGCAGCAGCATGAATTTGGCATTAACTTTGGGGCAAGTCATGTCCTGATATTTACAGTAAGCCAAACTGTCCCTGTGTGTGGGCTTATGTGCCTGTCAGCCCTCCCGTAGCGCTGCCGACTTTAGGACATTTGACAAACTGCTGGATAACTACGGACAAATGCCACTGGCAAATATGTGGTGTGTGCTTTGCTTATGATGAGTATTTAGATGTTCGAGCTCCCCTTATTGGACCATATCAAGCAAATAATTTCAATATTACCCCAATGCAACTACTAAGCATGTAAGCAGCACACTGCAAGTCAATGTTGAATATACAAGGCTTTTAAATATATGCATTGATGCAAACACAAATTAATATTTAGCTGTGCTCAAGCAAAATGATGTTAAATGGACACAAAATGCAAATACTCTGGAGAAACACTCACAATCTGACTGACAGCCGTTAAATCAAAGGATTGAAAGGAGCTAAAAAACAACTTCGTGAATTTAACTAAGGTTATCAGAGCATAAAAATAAAACTTGGAAATTTAAGAAAAAAAAGGAGAGTAAATACTTATTTATGTAAGCTTTAAAGTAGTATATGCAACACAATAAATCGAAGATATGCGTATGGATCCTATTGGAAAATAAATTAAATATAATGTAAGCTTATCTTGAGCACTCCTCCAGATTTGTGAGAATAGTAAAGCTCGTAAATTTGTAGTAAAATTAAACGCCTGTAGCTAGTCTTTATGTTTTACATTAAAGATCCATTTTTGGTGAAATAAAAAAAAGCTTTTCAGCTGAGCAGAGACAGGTTACGGACTGAACTCGACCTTGACCTTAGGTGGCCCAGCCAGCAATTGGATTGAATTCCCTATTAGATGGCATCAATAACTCGACACTGCATAACGGACTTTGGCTGCCGTCAAAGGCGATTACAATCCGCTCGGCTGTAGCCCAATCGAAGGCCAGCGCAGAACAGGTGAAAGCAGCTTGAATGCAAAATGGAGCCAATAATGAGCTCTTGCCGTCCAAGTATGTTCTTAACCCTTGATCCTACGGTCATGCGTCCATTGAGCAAAAGGCACTTTTTGACTTTTGCAGTAAGCTGATTGACACACCACGAGGGGGTGCTTGACGGGCAGCTGCTCAACGGCCATCACGTGGCAGGCTGTGGCAATTAAAGCGTCATTCACTTTAACATCGGCCTGGCGGGCGCTCGCTTGGCGCTGGGCCATAAAAAGGCAATGAAAACTGCCTCTTGCTGCCTGTTTACCCCACGAGTGCTTTTCGCGGGTCTTAACTGCGCCGCCGTTAGAGCGTCATAATTTGCTTTTAACTAAAAACTAAATCGAGCCAATTTGTCGTCCTGAATAATGTAACAGCCAGGCAAGGAGAGAGAGGGAGCGAGGGAGAGAGTGTGGCACAGGTACAGCTGGAGGATTTTCGTCCTTGCCAGGATATTTCACGGGCACTGTAGGAAGCGTGAAGCGGAAATGACTATGGTGATTATCTTAATTGCTTCACACGCTCCTCCTAAAGTTTTATTTGGGTAGGTTCTACTTAGCCTGTATCTGTACTGGAACCGGCAAATCCTATGGCTCAGGCTCGGTATTTAAATGTTAAGAGCCCTCATTAGCTAACTAGACATGGAAAGGGTTGCTCAGGCCCGACTCTTATAATTTTACGACGGTTCCACTGCCGCATTTTATTACTAATTTACTAATTGTTTTAATGAAATAAAGCATATATATATATTAATGTCCCGATATATTTCGTCATATTTTCATTTCGTTTTGACATTTTGCTTGTCGTGTAGAAAAATGTTACAAAATTATTGAACAGAGAAATTTTAAAAAAAATTGTTTTATTCAAAGTCCACCAAAGTGCATCGCAACAAAATGCGTAAACAGCAATCAGCCCCTCTTTCGCAAGGAGAACCCACCCAGAAGATACCGAATTTTGCCCAGTTAACTCCCTACGATGTAATGCGAATGCAAAACTGCAAAGGCTACAAATTTCGAAAGAGTGAAATGTATCCAAGCATCAGGCCGCCAGTATCCCAGTGTAATCCCAACAAAACGATTGCTTGGTTTTCAAAAACGATGGATGCTAACGGCTGTGGATGCGTGGATCCTCAATTGTTGAATCGAAAATATCAAAGTTCAACTGTGGAAAAAGCAGAGCTCGTGTCGAAAAATGTTTTAACTAGCAGAGGCAAAAATATGTTTCACCTATGCAAAATGAACAATCAGCGAAGAGAGCACGAACAAAATACCCCCGAAAGGCGTATCAATAATATGCTTGACTGGAGCAAAGTGACACCTTACGATTTCATGCGAATGCAGAACTGCAAGACGTTCAAGGTTCTCAAGTGCGAGACTTATCCCAGCATCAAGCCGCCAATATCCCAGTGCAGTACTGCGCAGACAGCTGAGTGGTTAGCCGATGTGGTTGAGGACGCTGGCTGCGGACGATACTTTGATATGGAGCAGGACGATGTCATGGACGTCTGGAAAGAAAGCCCAAATAAGCAGACGCTGAGCTACTACGGGGTGGCCTCGGCCATGCCCCAACCGGAGGCAGCCTTGTTCAACCGGGTGATCGCAAAATCTCTCGAAAAGGCAACCGCAGTGAAGCCTGCATCGCGCAAGCCCGAGGCCACAAAGCCGCAGATCATGCCATATACCTCATGGCCCTGTGGGAAATTTGTGCTCAATCGTCAGTTGCTGCAGGCAAAAGTCACCAAAATGCCTACAGTACAAAGAAAACTGGCTCCAACCGAGGCATTCACCATGCTGCACTGCCCCCATCCGACAGAAACTGAGCACCCGTTTCTCGAAAGCCAACCCAAAGTTCCGTTAACAAGTTCCCTCGATATGGACCGACCTGTTCCAAGGCCCAAGCACGGTCTTAGGCGCAAACACAAATATTGCGAATTGCAATGTCATATTCCCGAGAATAAATGCACGGACTATGAATGGAGAAAATACAAACAAGATGCCAAGCCCATTGATGAGGCCTTTGCGAAGGAGATGGAAGAGATGGAGAAAGGAGAACCCGAGCCTAGAAACTACGATGAGCTATACTCACACCTAGTGACATGCTTTGAAACTGAGGACAAGGACAAGGACAAGGACCCACTGTGTGATTATTATGAAAAGTGCTGTATCCCACCCCCGAAATATGCTCCGGAGGTTCCCAGTGGTCAAGGAGGCTCGCGTGTACCCGAAAGAGGTGTTCACCGTCGCCCTCCCCAAGTCGGTCGCCCCCCACATGATGTTGGTCCTGAAAAACCAGTGGGGCCTGAGCCACAAATACCCAAACCACCCTCGATAGTGGGCGGTGAAACTGGCGATGGAACGCAGCCAGAGCCTCAAAAAGACAAGCCAGTTAAAGAAAAACCAGCCAAGGAAAAACCAATCAAAGAAAAACCAGTCAAAGAAAAACCTATTAAAGAAAAACCCGTCGAAGATAAAGAGGAAATCCCAAAAAAAGAAAAACCAGTTAAGGAAAAACCTGCCGAAAAGCCTGTTGACACCTCGGAAGCAGACCTCCCCCCTGCAGAAAAGAAACCCGATAGAGATGGAAGGTCACAGAGGCCAGAAAAACCTTTAAAAAAACGACCTCCCCTAAAATCGCCCGAAATAGTACCTGAAGAAGGGCCGCCACCAGAACCCGTTCCAAGTGAAAGCCCTATGCCTGAAATGCCTAATCAGCCGAGATGGCCTAGAAGACAAACTGAATTAAGAAAACCACCCAAAAAGCACCCAAAACGTCCTAAAAAACCCAAACTTGCTGCACCACCTGCCCCTACAGATCCGTGTGAGCCGGCCAAAGACTGTCCCTGTGAAATTTGCGAATTCATGAAACGGCGACAGAAGGAGTCGGACACCCCACTAATTCGTCAACTAAAGCAGGAAGAGAAGCGGCGGCAGCTGCGGGATTACTACAAACGGATGTGCCATCGCGAATATCTCAAATGGCGGAAGCCCGAGTACCGCGCTCCCCAGCACAAGTGCGATGGCATTGTGTGCGACAATATCTTCTGTCGGAACCCCAAATTAGGGGAGTACTGCGAGTGCTTGGATGCCATGCAGAAGCTGCAAAAGTTGCTTGGGCCCAAACATCGTATTGTGAAGAATGAGCTGATATTCAATGTAGAGGATCTGAGGCGTCGCATATGTAGGCGTTTTTGTGACTGCCTTTAGAGATCATCCTCAATGAAAGAATATGCATAGGCAATTTGTGCCTGTCTAAGAAGTGGGTGTCTAGCAGAATTGCGCAGAATTGCGAACTGGAGTAACTTAGATATTTTCTTGGTGTTAACTTGAAAGTGTGCCTGATATGTTTCGATCCCATTGAGTAAATATGCATGTTGTTTTCCTTTTGCCAAAAAACCCATAGATGAGTTGTTTAAGTCCTGAGTATGTGCTACTGTTGTTGTTTCAGAATATATAAGTAGTAGAATTATATGACAGGTCGGAATTTGGGCCTATAGCTAAAGATAATAATTTCTTGCATTTAGTAGGCCAAGGGCTTAATGCTTGTGGATATTATATTTGTCTCGACTGTTAGATGTTCAGTTTCATGTCTAGAATAGTTTAAATCGAATCAACCCAAAATTTAAGTAATGTACTAATTGTGGAAAATTGATATTTTCAAATTTCAGATTTTATAGTGCGATCAATTTTATTATGAAAACTAGAATGTCGAAAGTGCAAGGAAAACAATCGAAAAGAATACTTGACTCCTCTTACGTAACTCCATATGATTTGATTAGGATTCGGAACTGCAAGACCTTTAGCTATTGTAAGGACGAAGGTTATCCTTCCATCAGGCCGCCAATATCTCGGTGTGGTTCTGAGCTTTCAAGACAATGGCTATCAGAAGCAGCTGAGAAAAGCTGCTGGGAACGACCTGTTAACATGGAGACAGACGATATCGTTGAGGTCTGGAAACATATCCCGTATAAGGACACACTGAGCTACTACGGCGTTGGTGCCGGAATTCAAAGCCCAGAAGCAGTTGTTTTTAACCAGGTGATTTTGAAATGCCTTGATGATGTCAAACCGGAAGCGGCTGCAGTGAAGATACCGAGAAAGACGCCTATTCCAGCCAAACCACAAAAAAACCAGACGCATGGAACAAATCCTTGGGGAGCCTTGGTCTTAAATCGTCAGTTGTTGAGTTCGAAAATTAATCAAATGCCCGTAGTGCAAAGAAAGGTATATCCAATGAATGTAGGCTTCTGGCTACACGGTCCCAGGCCAACTATGCCCGAGTACCCGTTTCTTGAGAGCCAACCCAAGGTACCTCTTACAAGCGCCCTTGACATGGAACAACCAGCTCCGAAGCGCAAACACGGTCTCAGGCGCAAGCATATGTACTGTGAATTCCCATGTAATATCGAAGAGAATATGTGCACGGATTACGAATGGCAGAAATATAAAGAAGATCCTAAGCCATATGAAGTGGCCTTTGAGAACGAGATGGCACAGGTGGAAGAAGAAAAAATATTCGAGCCGAGGAACTACGACGAATTATACTCGGAACTTCTCACCTGCTTTGAGCAAGACACCAACGCAGACTCTATCCGTGATCTTTACAATAAGTGCTGTAAGGGAATCTCGGAGCATGGCCAAGATGATCTTGAGGGTGGTCCTCATGGTGGAGGTAATCGAGGACGTAGACATGAAGATGAAGATGCTGGCGAAGGTTCCGATTTTGGTTCAGATGGGAAAACGGCTGGTGAAAACGAAGGAAAAAGGAAAGGTAAAGGTGAACGAAAAGGAAAAGATAAGGGTGAACGGGGTGGTAAAAGTAAAGCAGGAGGCAAGGGTGGAGCGGGTGAGAAGGGAATAAAGGAACATGTACCTAGGCAGAATTTAATGGTACCTGACGGAGAAGGTTCAATGCCTGATGGCGCAGAAAATAAATTGTTCGAGAAAATAGATGGTGGATCAGATTCATCACTTTTGCGCAAGGAAAAGGTACCAAAAATTGAAAAACAACGTAAAAAAACAAACCGAAGAAATTCTCGTGGGCTAACCAAAAAACCGTATGCTGGTAAAAAAAAAAGTTGCACCAGAGTTAGCAAAACCGAGGTGCCAAAAGAATGTCCCTGTGAAATTTGCAAGCTTATGAACCGTCAAGATGAGCCGGACACCCCATTCATTCGTCAAATGAAGCAGGAAGAGAAACGTCGCCAGAACCGGGATTACTACAAACAGATGTGCCACCGCGAATATCTCAAGTGGCGGAAGCCCGAGTACCACGCTCCCCAGCACAAGTCCGATGGGATTGTTTGCGACAATAACTTCTGTCAGAACCCCAAGTTAGGGGAGTACTGTGAGTGCTTGGATGCCATGCAGAAGCTGCAAAAGTTGCTTGGGCCCAAACATCGCATTGTGAAGAATGAGCTGATGTTCAATGTAGAGGATCTGAAGCGTCGTATATGTAGGCATTTATGCGATTGTCTTAAGTAAGAAGCCAAATCAAATGAATTTAGGCCCATTTACGAAATATAATTGTAAACTGGTGTGACCAAGAGATTATCTCAGTGTGATAGATAACTCTTTTTTGTGATTCAATAAAATAAACATGTTTTTGACGGTTGGATAGAAAATGTTGTCTTATCTTATAAAATGTACTGTAGCAGACGTATGCAACTACATTTGACCATTTACATCAAAGATAATTTAAACGATACTCAGGGTAATACTCGCCTTCCGGTAATATGAAGTGGAGAAGGCAAAATAGCTGAACAATAAAAATTGTATCGATTACTTGGAAACGGGGCAAGTTATCGATTATCGGAAACAAACTCGTACTGCCGGGTCAATTTGAGGACCCACGTTCTATTTCAATTCTCCAGCTCATATAGGTTCTGAAATCCTTGCTTTCATACATACGGACGATCGGACATGACTAGGTCGACTCGACCGTTGATGCTGATCAAGAATATATATACTTTACGGGGTCGGAGATGCTTGCTCTGCTTGTTACACACATATGCACATATACATTCTACCCTTATTACCCATTTTTAATGGGTTCATTGAACACATCTATAGCGAATTTAGATGCTGTTGTGTTTTTATACCCTTGCAGAGGGTAATTTAATTTTGTCGTGAAATGTGTAACGCATAGAAGGAGACATCTCCGACCCCATAAAGTATATATATTCTTGATCAGTATCAACAGCCGAGTTGATATAGCCATGTCCGTCTGTCCGTCTGTCTGTTTCTATGCGAACTAGTCTCTCAGTTTTAAAGCTATCTTTATGAAACTTTGCAGAATTCCCTCTTTCTGTTGCACGCAGTTCATATGTCAAAACCAGCTGGATCGGACCACTATATCATATAGCTGCCATAGGAACGATCGGTCGAAAAGTAGGTTCTTGTATGAAAAACATTTTTGTTTATAAAGTTATCTTTACTAAACTTGGTATTTATTAGTTTTACTACGTTCCCCATATATATGTATGGAAAATTTTTATGTTTTTCAAGATATCTTGACCAAACTCGGTACTTATTAGTTTAACTAAGCTCCCCATATATATGCAAAATTCTTTTAAGATCGGACAACTATATCATATAACTGCCATAGGAACGATCGGTCGAAAATTAAGTTTTTGCATGGAACATTTTTATGTTTTTCAAGATATCTTGACCAAACTCGGTATTTATTAGTTTTACTATGCTCCCTCCACTTATGCAAAATCTTATTCACATCGGGCTACTATATCATATAGCTGCCATAGGAACGATCGGTCGAAAATTAAGTTGTTGTATGGAAACCTGTTTTGTTTTTCAAGATATCTTAACCATACTCGGCATTAACTATTTTCCCTGTGCTTCTTAGATACGGGCAAAGCACTATGAGCATTTTGAAAAGGTTGGGTCTGCAAGGGTATTAAATCTTCGGTGTGCCGAAGATAGCACTTCTTTCGCTTCAGAAAAACGCATGGCCTACCTTAACATAATATTATTTCCTGGGGTAAAATATATAAGATTACAGTTCAGTATAAGAGAAGTTTTGAAGCGAATTCATCAAAATTTTTATGGTAGTAGAAAATATTAGCATGTTTTAATAGATTTTGTGTATTGACTTTGTTTACAATAAAATCAAGATTTATATAAATATGCGAAGACAAGAAATACTCAATAGGAACATGGACCAGCCAACTACGTATGATGTTTTACGATTGCAAAACTGCAAGGATTATAAATTTCGGAAGGGTGAAATCTACCCAAGCATTAACCCTCCAGTGGCTTCATGTGGAAATGACCTCACAAGTAGGTGGTTGTCTAATTTTGTTAAGGAAACCGGCTGTGGGATCCTTGATCCGGAAATTTTAAAAAACCTCATCAAAAGAGCATATGACAAGAAAAATGTTACTAAGTCCACTCAAAAAGGGATTGACAATCCCCGCGCAGCACGCAGATACCTTAACCGACCAGTAGAACTTTCTCACAGGAAACTAGACTATAGCCAGCTCACGCCCTATGATTTGATGCGGATGCTAAACTGCAAGATGTCAAAAGTTCAGGAATGGGAGACTTATCCCAGCATCAGACCTGCAGTATCCCATTGTAGTGGTGCACTGACTGCTCAATGGTTGGCCGATGCTGTGAGAGATAGTGACTGTGGTCGCTCATTTGACATGGAACAAGATGATATTGTGGAGATCTGGAAGCAAAGCCCAAATAAGGACACATTGGGCTATTACGGCGTAGGCTCAGATATACACAAGCCGGAGGCGGTTGTATTTAATCAGCTCATTTCGGAATGCCTTAAAAAGGTTATGCCGGAACCAACCAAGGATAAGCTACAAAAAGGAACAACTATTCCACCGAAGAGTGATGAGACTGTGAAGGAACCCTCTAAAAAAGATGTTCTTAATCGTCCATTGCTAAAGTCAAAAGTTGATAGAATGCCCACTGTACAGGAAGCGCTAAATGCGAGCAAGGCACTTACCTGGCTGCATTGCCCCCGCCTCCTGGAAGAAAAGTACCCATTCCTCAAAGGTAAGCCCCACGTCAGACCTCAAGACGCCATCGGGATAAAAAAATTTGTTCCGAAACCTAAGCATGGACTCAGGCGAAAGCATCCGATCTGCAAATTGCAATGTGTTCTTCCCGATAATGCATGCACGGAATACGAATACAGAAAAGATCCCAAGTCGTATGAAGAGTTTTGCCGGAAGGAGATGGAACGGTTGAAGGCTGAATGCGAGGAAGAATTCTCAGAGCCGAGAAATTACCCGGAGTTGTATCCACGTTTAGTTACATGCTTTGAAAAAAGGCCACCAATCGAATCCCGAATGCCTAAAAAACCAAGCTCGAAGTCGGAGGGCCACCGCTTGCCTAATGAAAAGACTGGTGGTAAAGGTGTTGGTGATGGAGGTGTTGGTGATGGAGGTGTTGGTGATGGAGGTGTTGGTGGTGGAGGTGTTGGTGGTGGAGGTGTTGGTGGTGGAGGTGTTGGTGGTGGAGGTGTTGGTGGTGGAGGTGTTGGTGGTGAAGGTGTTGGTGGTGGAGGTGTTGGTGGTGGAGAAGTTGCCCAACACAAATATACAAAGCGTGATGATGGAAAGGATAAGGATACAAAACCCAAAACCGCTACGAAAAAAACTCCACCAGCAAAAATCCATCGACCGAAAAAAATATTCGACGGTCTAGATAGGCCCAGTGAGAAGTCCATAACAACCGATAACGAAGATATAACTCCTTATAGACAAAGGATCAAAAGTTCAACTGAAGCAAATAGACGCTCCAAACGCAGATGGCGACAAAAGCCAAAAAAGGACAGCAATGTCCTTGAAACGGGCACGGCCAAGGAATGCGCCTGTGAGTTATGTCATTTCATGAAAAGTCGAGAAAGCGAGCGAGACTCTCCGCTCATTCAGCAATTGAAAAAGGAACAGAAGCGGCGGGAGCTCCTGGCTTACTATAAGGGCATGTGCCTTCGTGAGCAAATGAAGTGTCGTAGTCCCAAGTACCCAGCTCCGCAGCACACGTGCGATGCCATTGAGTGCGACGACAGCTTCTGTAGCAACCAACAATTTGGGGAGTATTGCGATTGCCTGAATGCTATGCAACATCTGCAAAACTTGCTGGACCCCAAAAATACATTCTGAGCAATCAGCTCAAAAATCTTAAGGATCGCATTTGCGGGTGTCTGTAGCTGCAAAGCAATAAGGGAACAGACCAACCCGGATATGTTGACAACTGGCGCGTTCCATATGGATTTTTAAACATGTTTATAATAAATATATTAATTAATCTTTAACCAATTGTGGAAGCGGAGTATAAGAGATTCTTTAAATTTTCGGATTCTTACAGATTTATAGATCGTCTGCTTTTCGGACGTTCAAAATATATATATTCATTGAAAATATATGCAGCCTTTCGCTCGATTTGCGGCTAGAGCACTATTTTTTTCTTTCAAGTTCGTTCTGTTTAAATACGCTGTTGGGATTTTAAGACCCTTTAATGGGGTATCTGACCCCACTAATTGTACATATTTTTTTTAATATGCATAAAAAACCGTGTAAATCAATCTGGGACCTGTATGTTAAGAAGTACAAGTGCGTTGTGGCTGGGTAGAGGGTATCTTCTGGTCGAGCACTATTATATCAAATCGCATCGTTTTGACGGATTCTTCCATCATTCATAGATTTTAAAGTTTTGTACAGAAGTTATAGACAATTCAACCAATTGTAGGGTGCGGAAAGGGTTTCAATTGAAGGATCCTGGCAGATTAATGTCTGTGAACAGCGCCTACTGAAATACTTCGTAAGTTCCTCGGCCTATTTTAATTGCCAGTTTTTTTTTCAGTTTCCAAAATATTTTCAGCTGAATACACCCCAAAATTTTAATTATGTTTTATAGAAATAACCGATTTTATAGATTATACTTCTTGACTTAAAAGTAATTTATTTTAAAACCTGAATCTTTAGAATGCGTAAACGGCTTGTAGACCACCTCGATCCCTGCGAAGTTGTGCTAATTCAAAACGGCAACACCTTTGCGTTTTGTAAGGGTGATATCTATCGTACCATCCACCCGCCTGTCTGTCGGTGTAATTCTGAGCTCAGATATAAAAGGCTTTCTAATGCGATTAACCATACCGGCTGTAGACCCGTTAAGCCCCGAATAATACAAAAAATGCAACAAAGTCGAAATGAGGGGAAAATAAAACAGCTTAAAAGGCCCCTCCATTATGACAAGCACTCCACCAAATATGTGATGCGAACACTCAAGCACAAGGCAGCCAATTTTCAGAAATGGCAACCCTATCCCATCATCAGACTTCCAAAATCCGCGTGGACTTGTGGGTTGACAGCAGCGAGTTTGGGCAAGCATGATGACCGTCAGAGGCTGTTTGACATGGAACAAGCTGATATCATGGAGGTTTGGAGGCGAATTCCAAATAAAGATACGTTGGGCTATTACGGCATAGGCTCAGACGTTCCCAAGCCGGAAGCGGTCGACTTTAATCATGTGATTGCAAAATGCTTAAGGAAGGTTAATCCGAATCAAAGCCTATAAAGTGAATCAAAGCATCACAAATTAATGTTCCCAAACAAAGCCAAGCCATTAGAAGTGCAATTATTGGAGTTCATAGCTGAGCTTAGAGATATATCCCAAAGAGGAGATGCTAAATTGAGTTCATCTTCTGAAATACGTGTCGATCAAAAAGGAAACAAGGTGATACTACGTCGATCATGAACTGTCCCGTGAGATGTCATTTCATAATTGCCTGACTGCCATGCAATATCTGTAAAAGTCGCGGGGCTCTAAGTATCGTTTGCGGATAATCAGCATCTTTTTAACGCCAAAAATCTTAAGGATTGCATATGCTAGCGCCTCTCTGGTTAAGTTCAGGCCAAACCGGATAAAAAAAGAACTGATGTGGTCACTTGGCGCGTTCCTCATGAAGTTTAGGTCTTGTTTTAAATATATGTATTTTTGAATCTTTAATCAATTGGTGGAGTGGGGGAAGCATACGAGATTCCTTACTTTTAAGGGATCGTACTTTAATTTAAAAGATCGTCTGCTTTTTAGAGCGACGAAATTGAGCCTTCCGGACGTGCGTTCTGTCAAAGTATTTTTTTTTACAGATACTATCCTTTTATATTGAAATTCATTGAAAGTGGGTAAATGTCGTATTTACCCGCTGGATTCAGGGTATCTCCTAGTCGGGCACTCTCCACCAGCCAATTGGCCGGTTCGTTCTGTTTCAGAAGCTCACGGGTTTTAAGGCTATGTAAGGGGTAATTATAATTGATTCGCAGCGAGAACACTTACATTTCTTATTGTGTCGCATCGCCTTTGCTTTTATAACACAAAGACCAAATTCTACCAATTTGAGGGTTTAAAGTGTAAACATTGAAGGATCATAGAATATATATGTCGGCAAGCAGCGCCTACTTAAATACTTTGTAAATTCCCTAGACTAATTCAATTGCCAGTTCTATTTCACTTTTAAAAACATTTTTACCTGAATATATCCCAAAATTTTCGTTATATTGTATTGATTTTATACGTTTTTATATCTTGACTTATTTTTAATTTTTATCAAATTAAGATACCTCAGAATGCACAAACAGCATATGGACCACCTCACTCCCTACGATGTCATGCAAATTCAGAACTGCAAGACATTTGTATTCCGTAAGGGTGAATTATATCCCAGCATTATACCTCCAGTGTCTCGGTATAATTCTGATCTCACAGCCGAATGGCTCTCAAACGCGATCAACGATTCCGGCTGTGGACCCGTTGAGCCTCGAGCATTACAAAAATTGCAACAAAGTCGAAATGACAAAATAAATAATCAAATGACCCACGATTATGGCCAGCACTCCACCGAAGATATGATGCGAATGCTCAAATACAAGGCAGCCAACTTTCAGCAATGGGAGAATTATCCCAGTATCAGGCCTCCAATATCTCCGTGTAGTCCTGAGATGTTGGATGGGAATGTTGGGGACTATGACAGTCAGCGGCTATTTGACATGGAACAGGATGATATCATGGAGGTATGGAGGCAAAGCCCCAATAAGGATACGTTGGGCTATTACGGCATAGGCTCAGACGTTCACAAACCGGAAGCGGTCGACTTTAATCAGGTGATTGAAAAATGCCTAAATAAGGTTAACCCCCAGCTGGCCAAGGAAAAGTCAAAGACCAAAACTACGCCACTTGCGCAACCGATGGAACCTCAAGGAACATATGTACTTAATCGTCAGATGCTTAAATCTAAAATTGATAAAATGATCCCTGTGCATGAGACACTTAGTGCAAGCAAAGCACTCGACTGGGTGCATTGTGCCCATCCATTTGGAGGCAAGCTGCTACCGTTCCAAAGTGAGCCGAAGATCGGTCTTAAAGCCGCCCTCGACATGGAGCGACCATCCCCGAAGGCAAAGTCCGAGTTAAGACGCAGACGCAAGCATTGCCGAGATATTGCTGCAAACCAATGCACAGAATTCCAACGGAGACGAGATCCAAGTCCATATGAATTGGCGTACCAAAGGGAGATGGAACAGTTGGAGAAGGAAATCGAAGCAGAGCCGAAGAATTACGATCAGCTGTACTCGCAGCTAATCACATGCTTTGAAAAGAATACCTACAAAGACCCCATTTCTGAAGCATACAAGTGCTGCCAGCAATCTTCAGAGGTTGAGGATGGGGGCGATGCTGATGGTGCTGGTGCTGGTGCGGCCGGTGACGGTAGAGCTAGTCGAGTTGTAGATCGTCGTTCTAATAAGACAGCTGAAAAGGGAGCTGGTTATGGCACTGGTGCAGGTGGAGGGGCAGGAGATGGTGCAGGTGGAGGAGCAGGAGAAGATGATGCAGGTGGAGGAGCAGGAGATGGTGCAGTTGAAGGGACTAAGCCATCTATAACTAAAGCTAGTAAACAGCCGAGAAAATCGGCTAGAAAATCAGGCAAAAGCATAGCTGAAGGCAAACAAAATGGCACTTCCTTAAAAAAGCCAGTCCAACCATTTCGCTATAGTTCCTTGTCTGAGAGTTCACCTAATCCATCTAGTTCGTTCGATAGACCAAGCGGCCCAGAGCCCTCCCAAATGTCTTGGCAAAAAAAAGACGAACATTCTGAATCGAAAATGCGCTTTAAACGCAAGAAGGGCAGGAAAGCCAAAAAACTAAGCGGCCATTCAGGAAATGACACTAATGTACCGAATAAGGATTGCCATTGTGAAGTTTGCAAGTTTCTGGATCGTCGAGAGAGTGAGCCAGATTCCCCGCTCATCCTCCAAATGAAAGAGGAAGAGAATCGACGCGCGCGCTGGGAATACTTTCATCGCATGCGCCAAGAGCAAATGATGTGCTGTGAGCCGGAGTATCGCGCCCCTCAGCGCAAGTGCGGCCCTATAACATGCGACAATAGCTTTTGCTGTAATCGCAATTTGAGTGAGTCTCTTGACCGTTTAGCAGCATTGCAAGAGCTGCAAAAGTTGATTGCTCCCAAGTACGGGAATATGGATCATGAGGTTCTCGACAAATTGAAGTTTCTCAGAAATCGTATATGCCAACAAATGTGCGACTGTCTATCGATGCAGAGGACTAAGCGAAATATTTGGCATTCAGACACTTTTGGTACATTTCACAACTCTTGACAACGTTATTTTATATTAACAATGTATTTTATAAGACTTCTTTTTGATAAAAGCAACTTGGCATGCTAAGATTTGGTGTAATATGGCCTTTGAATAAAATTCATTATGCAATGCCTACTTGACTACTTTTTTTTTACGTGGGACTACAATTGTGACACTTAAAGGCTATTATGTAAAATGTTTTGAAACGACAACACCTAAAATTTGAGTAATGCAATAGAAAAAAATAAACCTCGAAAACGTTTTTAGATTTTAGTACCAACGAATCTGAGCAAAATGTCCAACCAGCAAGAACGTTCTCTCGAGGAATTGGAGCAGACTGATGAGGGGTTAGACTACAGCCGGCTTACGCCCTACGATGTGTTGCGTATACAGAACTGCAAATCAGCCCGATTTGTGAACAGAGAGACATATCCCAGCATCAGGCCGCCAGTGTCCAAGTGTAGCAATGAGCAGACGAAGATATGGTTAGCTGATGCTGTCCAGGATATTGGCTGCGAGCGGCCATTTCGCTCGGAGAAGGAAGATAACATCCTAGAGATGTGGAAGCAAACCCCAAACAAGCACACGCTCAGCTGCTATGGCTTGGCCTCAGATATCTATCAGCCAGACGCAATCATTTTCAATCAGGCTCTTACCAAATGCCTTGATAAGGTCAACGGTGTAGAGCCAAAGTGCAAGAAGTCAAAGAAGACGCCGAAAAAAACCGACATAAAACCCAAGCCAAAGGGCGCCTATGTGCTCAATCGTAGCGTGCTGCAGTGCACCATCAGCAAGATGCCCACTGTAATGAGAAAGACAAATGCAAGCAGTGCCAACACCGTACTTTACTGTCCCGAGCCAACAGACCCAGAGAATCCCTTCATCGAAGACGAGCCATTCATTCCCCTTCAACGCGCACTCGACATGGAGAAGCCAGTTCCGAAACCCAAGCACGGACTTAGGCGAAAGCACAAGTACTGCGAATTGCAATGTGGTATTGCAGAAAATAAATGCACGACCTACGAATGGTTTAAGTACAAGCAAGATCCCCTGCCATATGAAGTGGCCTTTGAGATGGAGCTGGCCGAGATGGAGGATGTAAAAGATCCCGAGCCGAAAAACTTTGACGAGCTCTACTCACAGCTGGTCTCCTGCTTCGAGAAGAACCAATACGAAATTCCCGCCTGCGAAGTATATGGAAAATGCTGCAGGCGCCCCTCGGATCGCAGGGTCATTCAGGGTTGCGGCGAGGATAAAATATTTGGACCTTGTGGTGAGTTTCGTGAATGCGATTAAGAATTAAGAACAAAATATGTTAGGGATAGTGTAAAGTAAGGTTTCACACATAATGAGCCAAGTATAGAGAGAAGGGGTTATATGGAGAGTGAAAAAGATAAAAGCGGAGAAAGAGAGAGCGAGAGAGAGAGAGAGAGAGAGAGAGAAATAAGTTATCATAGATGATCCGGGACATCAAACATATTCAGAAAGTCTACGTCCCGTAATGGAACCGCAGGGCAACATTGTAATCCCTTCATGTGGATCAAATATGTAGCATTAATGGAAAATGTAAAAATCATCTTTACTCTAGTCATAAAATACCCTAGATGTATGTTAAATTTGGTTTGATGCTGTATTTACTGTGTTTACCTTGTAATCTGCGAAAAGGGACACCGAAGTGAAAATGTCAAAAGACGCTGGGATGAAAACAGCATAAATTAATTAACAAAGATGAGAATCCCATGCAAGCTTTAATAGGTAGGGCTTCAGGCTAAGCACAAGCCCAAGCTACCTTTTGTCGGCTTCTCGCTCATTTTTATTACCCTTCTGATATTCTCCGAGCACATTGCATAATTCATTTAAGGACACAAACCTCTTTAAGGGACCCCGAGGCATATCTTTTTCGTGTGCCCTTGGCGTCCTCTTCATTGCCGGCGTTCCACGCTTCAGCGAATTTTAATAATATCGCATTCCATTTCGTTTCAATGCAACAGCAACAAAACCAGCAGCAAAAGTATAAGTTAAAAATTAATTTTTCTGTGCCGCTAACTAAATACTCTTGCAAACATGTTCGTTTTTTATAAAATTTATAGAGTTAATCTAAATCTAAATACATTCATATGGCAACTAATCAAGCTTTGGTTTTATAACAAACTCCAATCAAAGAAAAAGCGAATAGTTATATTTAGCTTAGATGTATCTCAGAAATATTTTTTTGTTCCTTATGAAGTAAAATGTATTTTAATATACTTTAAAGAATTTTAAACGATTTTATTTTTTATGGAAATTGCGATCCAGCTGTAACTGGACTTATTTATTTTCAAACAAGAGCAAACATTCTAAAAAAACAAACAATTTGATATGACAATCAATCAGAAATTTATATACTGCGAATATTCTTTTCAATGGGTTACAGATTTTACGACCAAATCAAAAAACTCTTGCGCGAAGAACATTTTTAATCAACGTGAGCCAAAAAAAAAAAAATAAATAAATAAATAAAAAGACAACGCCCCACAGGCACACACACCAACACACACACCCATACATGCCGACATATACACATTTAATGAAAAAGAGTTAAGTGGACAGAAGAAGGGGGGCTGTTGGCAAGGGGCTTAGCTTTCAGTTGGGTTTTATACAGACTTTTAAATTGACTTTATGCAACGAAACATATGCAGCACTTTTTGCAACATTCCAAGTTAATCATCCCATATTTACTATCTACTGTGGGTGTGGCGTACGCCCCTCTCCCCGTTCTCACTCTCTCTCTCGTTGCATTTAATTAATGCAAGCATTTCGCTGTCCATTTCGGGGCCGAAGCGAAACTCATTTGGCGCTGCCTCTTGACCCATTGCACGCTAAGAGTGGCCAAGTATTTGGGAGGGGATGAGGTGAATATGTGGGAGTTTGGTGGGTGTGGCATATATGAGCTATACGCGCAGCCCATCTGCCAGGCCCATTGACCTAGGTCAAATATGCAGTTCCAACAGTTGCCACAAGACACCACGCCGTCCTCTATGGAGAAGGGGAAGGAGGAGGACTCTAAAACCCCAACGTCAAGAGATTTTTTTAATGTTTTGTTTTGTTTTGGAAGGGCGCCCAACAAGTCGTGAAAAGTCAGAGCAAAAAGTCGAATGTTTTTTTTTCCTTTTTGTGGGCAACGAGGCTATGTTGGATTTTTTGTTAGATTTATTGTTGTTGTTGTCGTTTCCTATTTGCCGCTGGCAGGATACGCTTGCCGGCTGGTTGAATCGTCTGTCCCTGTTCGGGCGCTTCCTTTTGCCAACGTTACGTAAAATGCTTTTTACGCTCAATTCCCTGCAAAAAGTTGTGGGTATTGGGCGCAGCAGGAGTGGGGCATAGGATCACATGCATGTTGCCGTGTCATTGCAATGATAAATGTATTTGGTCACACACACACACACACAGATATCTGGGCATACTAGCACCGACATGAATAGACACACACTCACAACGAAGCCTTAAGTACACACAATGAGCATTTGTGCCATGAAAAGAAAATTGTGTGAATCGACCAAGAAGTCGAATGGCGCACATAGCCCACATTGTCCAGAAAGAAAAATAACATAAAACAGAAGCAACTGCAACAAGGAGCAGACCAACTAATATGGCGACACAAAACAATGCCAATAAGGCAGCACACACAAGTCGCATTTGTAATGGTTTTTGCCGCCGAAAAACTGGACATAACGCACGTGAGCTGGCTAAACAAATACTGTTTAAAAGATTTTCCAAAGTTGTGGATTACGCGTGCCTACCTGAACAATAGAACTTTTGTGGCACATCTTTGCCCAGCCTGTAATTGGCTTTCAATCGTTGTTGGCGGCTAAAATCAAAAAGCAATTTTTATTAGCTCGTATTCCAAACAGCTTCGCAAATGTTTTCGTCGCAGGCCAACCGTATCCCACACAAATATACGAACATGCCACAATGTACATTCAATCCGAGGCCCGAATCACCAGAATAATACATATTTTGCCAAAAATATGTTTACTAACAAACAAAAATAAAGTCAAATAAAGCACAAGGAACGCTTCAAAAATCACACAAAAGCAATTTTATTTGGGATAGCCAAATTTGCGATACCCTTATAGTTCTGAATACCTTTTGAACTAAATTACATTAAAAAAATATATATATATATGCTTTAAAGGATTACCTGTGGATACAGCTTTCAAAGCTCTTGGAAGCATCAGCCTAAATAATATAATACTGATCCTATAGGGATATAGGGACTTTTCTTGACTTTCTGTGATTTACTTAACCTACACGTTTTACTTTTTACTATCTCCCTCTCCCACTTTTTTTCTAAAGCTCCATTTCAATCTCTCATTGTTTTCATTTCCCTTTCGTTTTTTTTATTTATCCCTTTTTATTTATATAGATGTACTATAGAAAAGCCGTACCCAGGTCTGAATTGCATTAAGCCAAATTAAAACTTACTCAAACATTCGCATACACTCCTATGGTACTTGTTTAATTGAAAAATACATGCATGAACAAATATATACATATGTACACACACATTCATTCCTACACTAACACACACACATGAGTTTGTAGGATTGTTAGTATAACACTCTATAAACAATGCACATATGTCCATACATACATACTTAAATACATATGTCCATACATGCATACAAATACAACAACAAAAAAGTCACTACACTTCTAGCCGAGCATGAAAAACTGCAGAGCCTACTTGAATTCTTGAGAATCGAGGAGTAGAGCCCTTGGTACAAATTCGTTTTATTTAAATTTGCAGCGCAGCTACAAAAAAAAACTTGGTCTGCGTTTGGTATTAGAAAACAAACATGCATGCGTAAATTGATACATATGCACATACTTAAATACATACAAGAATAAAATTTTCAAGATTGGAAACACTTGTTAATGTTACACTAACAAAGCATTAAGCCTGAGAGTCTTGCTTGAGTTCTTGAGAAGCGCATAGTAGGCCGTTCTGGATCGCTTAGTTTTTGTCTTAACATGTTGAAGTGAAATCTTTCTTTTCTATTATTCTCACTCTCACACAACTGACAGCATATTTTGTTCAATTATAATACTGTTATCACTGTATGTTTATTTATTTTATTCCAGGATGCGAGTGCTCCGGAAACGTGGTGAATTAACTAGAGGAAGGACCAAATACTTGGCATACGCACCTTTGGCTTTTTGGCATATTGTCCGGTGCGCACATCGCGTATTGTGGCAATATCCAGCATGTCGAGCTCATTGTTCTGATCGACCCAATATAGAAAAAATCCTTTGGCATCTACACGCATCGTCACCGGCGTACCGCTGCCCGAGTCCTGCAATGGAAAATCGTTAAAAAAAATTTGCCTTAGTGTAAGATCTGTGTATGAGGTTTTTTTGTAGTAATAAAAATAAGATTCCATTTGCGCCCAAATCTCCGTTGACTGCGGTTCGTTCAACTCGCCGAGACTAATGAATTTATTACACCGAATTTCGCTTTCCAATCGCCCACAAAATGGCCAGAAGGAAAAAGTCATCTCTGCTTATTATTTAAGTCAAATTAAATGGGCCTGTAAAATGATGTGCACTGTGCCCCTGTCCAACCACCCCAAGCCCTCCGCCTCGTCTGTTGCTTGTCATAAATGTTTAAGCATTCATTCATAAAAACCAAAAGAAAAGAATGCGAAATTTTCTCATGTTGGCCGCAGCTGGCGGCCTGGCAATGGCAAACAGATGCGCTCCGATAAAACATCGCGAGCCAAAAATGAAATATTTTATTTTTTATTTAATTTATTTTGTTTTTTTTTTCCTTCGTTTTGTTTTTAATATATTATATGCAAAACAGACGCTACGAGACGTTCGTGAATTTTGAAGATCTTCTAGGCAACTGAGAAAGCTGTCTTAAATTTTCTTGGAATCTTCCTACTTGCAAATGCGTTAAATGGCGCGTAAGAAACGAAATACTTATTGCCAATGCAAATTATACAGATATATGCATTCCTATATATATATATATATATATTACACGGAACGTGCTTTTTCTTCAAATTTAAGACATTGCTTTCCACTAGTTTTCCGCCCGTGATGGTGAATTTTACAAAATTTACACGGGTCTCAAATAAATTTTTACAAATAACTTTGCAAATGAGCTTAAGACCGATCGGATTCCGAACAAAATATTTTCATGCTGCCCAAACATCCCTTGGCCCTCATCGTCCACTCAGTAGCGAAGGATTTAAAACACCTCTCAGATTAAATTGAAATTTAAAATATACATGAAAGTTAAAATTTGGCTAAAATAATCTTAATTGAATTTAACAGGAGCAAAATCTTGCAAGGACCATTTAATTTGAAACAAATCTAGGAAAAGTTGATATTCTGTTTATGGGAGCAACAGCAAGAAATGGGCAATTGTTAATGCAACTGAAATTTGGGGAAATCACGTGCAAAGACTTTGTAGCTGTAGAGGGCGGTAGTGGGCGTAGCGGGCGTGTCCGGAATATTTTGAACATTAAAGGGATCAAGCAGTAAGCTTCTTGTTAAAATTGTTGACTACAAAACAAATGTTTTCTATTTCAGACTGTGAACAGAGTAAGCACCAAGAAATTAAATGGAAATCGTTCAAGCTATTTGCTTTTGGGCAAAAATAATGACTAATTTTTTATGCCATCTATAAAATTTTACGATTTAAAACATAAACTGAGAAATTTTTATTATGAAAATACATGAGCCTAAGTGATGCGTATAAATTCATATGAAATACAACTGAAACTTTAGAAAATAGAATTTAAGAGTAAATACCCTACGTGAAATCCATTTTAAGTAAAACTTTTTATGATGATTACTTCTTAAGGGCTATAAACCGAAAGAAATATTAGTCCATGGTTCGAACCAGCTTCCAGCCATTAGGTTCGACTTGTGAAATTGCCTTGCTGCGGGGTATCTCAAAAGTTTGTTATATAGAAACCAGGAATCCTAATTGATTATTTGATTTCAAAACAGACTCTTAAAAGTATCCAGAAGTGGAAATATATTTGCAAAGGTAATATTCATAAGTACTATTCTTTTCTTCACAGTATTATCTCTTGTGTCTGGGCATTGTCTGAAAATTGAATCAAGCCATTTTGACCTGCCAAACGAACCCTGAAATATGACCATTAGTATTAGAGAACAAGTGGTGTTTTGGTCGGAAATTGATGAGCATCGAAATAGTTGTAATGAGCAAGTTTAATTTCCAGCAGCTCGGAGTTCATTATCCTTTGTTGAGGTCGGTTTAATGAACTCACAAGGTGGCAAAAGTGGATACAATTTCACTTTGGGGACGGAGAAGGCACTCCACGCTATCTTCCACAGCCCCCTGTCCATTCTAATAATTGATATTGAAAACATTTACTTGCAGTAGAAATATGCGCAGCTTTCGTTTTGGGCGAGGGGGTGTTTGAGGGTCATTTGGGATTCGAGCCCGGTTCGGTTCATTTCCTTCTAGACCCCTCCCCCGCCCCCACTCTAGCAAAATTTTTATTCAATTAAGCGCATATTTTCTGCAGGTTTTGGGGCTGCCATCGGAAAAGGGTTGCGCATCGCTAATTGGACTTCAGTTTAACCCCGAGCTCCCCAAACACCCGATATGCCCCACTTGAATATGTCTTGTTTTTTCTACTTTTCTAATTACTCTTAACTAATTGAGCTGCAAGCCAACGACCCGTTCGTTGATTTGTTTTCAATATGCGAAATTTGCTGTTAACCAACACTGCCAATCGAATTGACAAATAACCAAATGGCCTGCGAATCGACTGCGAAGTGCAAAAATTTCAACTCGTGACTAAAAAACTGGCAAGCAACAGACGCTTGTCTGGCTCTAAAGCTCGTTTGTGTGCGCGTTTGGGCTAAGAGCGATTACATGCATAATTCAATTGACGTAACAGCCTGCCTGGCCTGCCAGCCCCGCCTCCCCATAGATGCTGGCAAAGCACAGTATAGCTAAGAGGGACCAAAAAAAAAAAGGGATAAATGTGCTCGCAGCTGTGCCTCAGTTGCAGATACATTTAGAGACAGAGATACAGATACAGATATATCTAGAGATACAGTTGTATGCATATTGTATTGTCAATCATGCTTAGGGGCCTGCCAATAAAGCCGGCAAGTGCGTGCGTTTCACTGAGTTACAGTTGCCTCTACGCAGAGCGTCAACTGCTTTGGGGACTATGCAAATGCTATTTGGGATTACCCAGCTGCTGCCAGGCAATCTGCGTGCGTGTGGGACTCCTACTATCCTTTCCTTTACTCTTTTGGCAAAGTTGAACTATGATGCAATGCTTGACTTTGTAATACCCGGAGTACAGATGTTTCTATTACAGATTCACACTTAATTCGCAATATACTCCTCGGCGATAGTTTGACAATAATACGGCGTTCATTTTTTTCATTTTTCTCTCCCAAGCGAAGCAATTTAATTGTGTCATTGTTTCTTTTTTCCCATTGAAAGGTAACCCTGCGATAAATAATCTTTATGTTCCGAAACGCAATACGAATTGAAAGAATCTTATTTATATTTATCGCGACAAATGACAAGTTCGCGAGCCATGTGATTCACACACAAGCTTTAGGCTGCCAAGATAGAAGAACTTTTAAGTTTTAGCTGCAAATATGAAACGCACTCTTCGAAATACCAAAATGATATGCTAATAAACTTTTTAAAATAGATGATCTGCTAAACACATAAGGTTTAAACTTTAAACACTTCAATGTAGATAAGACACAGCAATTGTATTATCTGATCTGAGCCATCAGAATATATAAGTATCCCCTTAAAATAATTGAATCGCATGTTATCTGCCTATATCTCTGGCTAACTATCTACATAAATGTTTCTTTATAATACCCTTTTTGGCACATTTTATGTGTGCAGGGTATACGCAGCAGTTCCAGCAGCTGCAAGTTCAAACTACATGCAAATGATGTCATAAAAATGTAGACAGCCTCCACGTTTGTCACCTGTGCAAGTTTGTCGAGCACTCGAAACTAGATGCTCGAGTTGCTCTTGTTGGTTTAAAGTTTTGCCAGGCACTTATTAAGCATACGCCGAGTGGTACACTCGAGTCCCATGCAGCAGCAGCAGCAACAGCTGTCAACGTCTGTCGGAGCTCTACGTAAATTAAGATTGATGTACGAAACGTGTACAGTTTGAGAACCATTGCGATTTGACCCTGCACACGCAGCAGGTGCCCCTCAAAGTTGACATAATCTATAATCTACGATTAAGCATGCTCGATCCACACAAATTGGGCTTTCGAACTTATGGGTCTTATCGAGCAGTTAATTGACCATTGGCGATATTGATAGTCTGTGCCCGATATCTAGGTCTGAATTTTAGAGATTAGATAGTTGTTGTTTGCTTTAATTGGCGACAAGTGTATTACGCAAAGATCAGAGCTATTAGACATTAGCTTAAGGCTTGGCTAGTCGCTACTCAGTTGAGCTGGTAGTAGGCGCTAATCACTTGGTAGATCCAATCCACGTAGGCGGGCACGGAGGTGAAGACCGTCGGCCGATTGGCATAGCCGCAGGGCATATAGCTCCAGGAGCCCAGGCCCACCAGTTCAGCGGGTCCGGCGATGGGCCAGTAGACCAGGGGAGTGCCGCCGTCGCCATAGCATGCCTGCACCTGGGCGCACACCTGCCTCTGCGAGAGCGGCGCATCCGTGGGCAGCAGCTCCGCGCAGCGCGTGCTGTTCAGCAGCGCGGAGAATCCATATTGCAGCTCCTTGGAGTATGCATCACCGTCGACATCGGTCAGTCCCCAGCCGTAGGCGGTAGCCGTCTTGCCGCTGTAGTCCTCATCCAGATCCGGCAGCGCTATCTGCTGCACACGCGCCGAGTACACAAATGATTCGGAGACGTGAAGCAGGGCGATGTTGTCGCTGCCGGCTTGGCCGTTGAATGAGCGATGCGTCGAGGCAAAGTCCACGTAGCGCACCTGGGCGTCGCTCACGTTGGCCCGATTGGAGAGGCCCGCATAGACGGCGTTGCCAATGATCTCGCCATTGAAGCTGCGCCACTCCTCGCAGCAGTGGGCAGTCGTGAGGACCCAGCGCTTGCCAATGATGGCACCCGCGCACTGATGGCTGTAGGTCAGCGGGGTGAGGCTCAGCGAGACAAGGTAGGGCGCATTGTCCACACCCTGCACATCGAATCCATCAATGATGCGCGACGATATTTCCATTGCCTGCTCGTTCTTCATCTTCTGCATTATACTCTCCACCAAATGGGCGACCGACTCTGACGCGATATTCCTCTCGGCCAGTTCCTCATAGTGACCCGCCAGCAGGTGCTCCAATTGGGGTACCTGGGATCCGGCCTGGGCCAGCCCCAAAAGCGGTAGCAAAGCTAAGAAAATTTTTACCGCCAACATGACGTTACTTATCGTTGTGAACTGCGATTGTTGTGAACCATTCCCGAGAGCTCTCGACACTTATATACGCAGTCGTCCAGTGGAGCTTTACGATAAGCAGTGAGGGTAACAAGTGCGATTGGTATTTAAGCAGAGAGATAGTGAGAGCGTGCAGAGATTAGAGGTGGCAGCGTGTTGGATTCAGTTGCCAGAAATTGCAAATTCCCACGCTGCTTAATGTCTATCATTGTTTATTTTTTCCCTATCCATGTGTATTCCATTTTAACATTTTTTAAAAGTATTCAGGAAATTGGGAAATTTTGTTAATTTAAAAAGATTGTTGACGTCGTGCGTGTTCCCAATCACGAACGGAATTCACGATCCACTCTCAGCTCCAAGTGTAGCAGAGCGAGAGAGAATTTCCCGTTCAATTAACACCTTGATATTAGTTGGGATATTTCCAATTTTCATTACCCAAATATATGTTATGTAGTTATTAATTCATGTTCGTCTTTCTTTAATTTGATTGGCTATATCAAGAGAATATTGCTAAATTTATCACAATTCTTTCGCTAGAACTTTTCATATATTTACCGCTTTAACAGAATCATATTCTATAATAAGAAGATGGATTTGCTTATATTCTCTTGGGATATTTTTCAGAAAGTTTCTTTATTGCTCAGGGATTTCTTATACACTTTACCCTTAAAATGTGTGTTTAAGGCAGTTACATATATATATATATATGTATATATTCTAAATCAGCCTCAGCAGATGCATTTGCTTAGCTATGTCTATCTGTCAGTATTAAAGCGTCTATCTCAAGGACTACGGCAAATCCATGAAGGTTCCCAGATCAAAAGAATAATTCAATCACTTTTGAATAATGTCTCCCTGTTTCCCTAAAGTTGAATAATGTATATTCGGAACAAATAATCAGTCAAAAAATTTTTTGTTGTAAATAAGTCTTCAATTTACGAGCTACGATATCATATAACTTTGATATCAAGCGGATTACGTCTTTCTGAGAAACATTTGAATAGATTATTTTAACTGTAGTTTGTAAAGATTTCTTTTTAAATTAAACAGGGCCGCAGTTTAGTCAGGCGCTTATTAGAGGATTCGTTGTGCCCGGCCGGAGCTTTATTATCATCGTTTAGCTGGTCTTTAAAGTGGCTTTCATGGCACATGTTCTGTATTTTCCCCGCCGTTGGGCTTTGCCCTGCGCTGCTTAGTTAAATGTGTACACATTTGTGTGAGTGCGCGCGTGTGTGTGTGTGGGTGTGTTTGTGTGCGTGCGGTTGCACAAAGTCCACGGCCCGCAGCGGCGTAAAATTTGCTTTTAATTGGCTAAGCCCGTAAAATGGCCACCATCTGCCGCGGGCGGAGCGCCGGACATTGTCCACTCTTTTATGTAACCGCCAAGGACGCGTATCCCTTTATAGACAAACACATACACAAACAGGCACATACGTATAAATAGCGACCCTTTATAAGAGGGGAACTTAGGCTCGGGGCGACCTCGCACGCGTGGCTTGTCAACACCTAAGAGCCCACATTACACATGCTAAAAATATGGCAATTATCGAAGGCCCGACACGTATAACATGTAGCGACTGTAGAGAGTTGGGTTTCTGGTTCTACATAGTGCTATTTAGTATTTTAAAATGGCACGCTTTTTTGGAATCCTCATCCTTATCAGCTGGATTTGGATTAGCTTAATTTCGCTTGGTGTGGAAAAATCAAGTCATAAAAGTTGATTAGCAAATAGTGAAATCATTATCATAAATCGATCTTTTAATCGGCCGATAACAGCGAACTATAAAAGGTCGCTGCCCGCCAACGACTCCATCATTCGTCGTCCATTGCTTTGAGCAG